GTCAGATATCATCTATACTTATCTCATCTATGCCACGTCTATACTGTGCCTCGACCCCACTGTGCTACCGTTTTTTTTAGTCCTGATAATCTTTTTTTCAAATAACTATGTGTTATAGATATAATATTTTCTTATGCAATAAAAGAAAAATTATATTTTAGAGATTGGTCACTTATATTTATTAAACAAAAATATTATAAAATTAAAAAGAATTTCTATAGTTACGTCAATAAATAGATAGATTAAAATATATGATTCAATTTGCTCTCGAAATTTTATAATTAAGTAGTTTTGTGTTAATATACTGTAACATTTTACGTTTAAATAAATTGTCACGATCAATTTTATTTATATATATAAATATTTTGGTAAAATGTTCCGAAGCAACTTTCAAATCTTGTGCGATATTTCACTAAAAGTGATTCAATGGTCTATGGCTTTTGGTTACATAATACTAGTCATACTTTGGAATTTGTACAAGCTAAATGAATTGATCATTGTAGTGTTTTGTCGTAACTTTTTAAAAGAAAAGCCTAATAATGAATCGATCAAAGCTAATAATCAACTTGAAAATTCGACTCCAAATATGATAAAAACTGGACTTGGTTTTACAAATAGTATTTTGCTACCCAACGGCAACAAAATGATTGTTGAAAACCCAAGTGTAACACACGAAGTGGATATTCAATTTAATGCAGTTGCAGCTAACTCTGACATAGAGATTAAAGTTAAGGATGCTAATGAAGTATTCGGTCTTCAGATAGATACAAACAATCCATCAAATTTAGTAGCTGACATTGAAATCGATAACAAGGCAGTTGAAACGAAACCAGCCTTAGACATTGATAAGAAATCTCCTATTAAAACGGATGTTGTATCGACACTTGCTACAGACGTGCGTAAATTTGACGTCTTCTCTAAACGAATTGCACCTAAGGACACAAAAGTGTTTAGAAAACGTGTTGATAAACAGAAATTCTCAGTGGCGACTAAAAAATCTTCTCCTATATATAATGCTAACTATTTGTATGTTGGAGGTTTAAAATCTACTACAACAAATGAACACATCACTGAAAAATTCTCTAAATTTGGCAATATATTGAATGTTGAAATTTTGGACGGCGCTTATCGTTATGGAAAACAAAGTACACTAAAATGTGGTTTCGTGTGTTTTGAGCACAGTTCTTCAGTAGATAAAGTGCTCTCTTATAAAAGTCTTACACATTTGTTGAGTAATAACAGTAAGGTATATGTGGACAGACGTACAGAAAAATATGAACCTTATCCGAACTGTATGTCGTATAAAGCATAATTATAATTATAAGCAAAATGCTTATTATCCATTAAATGTCTCTGAATTAATATTCCATGTGTCTGGTGAAAACACGTTCAAAATTATTTTATACTTTATTTTTCAATATCAAAAGAAATTAAAATTTTTATTGTTTTAACTAGGTATTAAATGTTAAACTCAAATTTGTTTCATATTTTTAATTAAAAAAAAAACTCATGTTATTTCATATAATTTTATTACATTCTAACAGTAAAAGTTATTTATAAATATTTTCTCTGAGTTAATCAACCTAAAATTACATGCATTTGTATTCATTTAAATAGATGGATTAAGGTTTAAATTTATTTCCTTTGATATTTAATTGACAATATCAAATATTTTGCTTTTTACTTCAAAATGTTTATAATTCTTGTGTTCTATTCTTAATAAATGTTATTTAAACAATATTTGTTCGTTATTCTATGGGAAAATATTGAAAAACAATACAAAATAATGGAATAAAAAAAATATTTCAAATGTAGAAGTACTTTTTGAGAAGATGAAAAATTAACCAATTCTCTTTTTATGTCCTTTCTAATTTTTATTTAGATTGACTAAACCATATTCTTTTATAAATTTAGGTGTAATAAAATTTCAAAGCAATTTACTTTACAAAAACTATCTTATCCATTAAAATTTGTGAAACACTTGGGTCTATTATGCGAGTGTAACTATTAGACTCATTGTTTTGAAATTATGATATATATTAAGTGGGCTGTTATTTTTTTAATGTAATAAAGAACATTGATTTAAAATATAAATACAATATGATATAATTTAGTTAATACAGAGTAATAAATGAACATTTTTGAAAACCCTAGTTCACAAAGGGTACAAGTGACAAATTCAATATTTAGAATATTTCAAAAAAGAAATTTGTACCGAAAACCTATCTTCTATGTGGAAATGACATTCTTGCATTTTATACATGTTTGCCATAGAAGTCATATTTATTTTATAGTTTCTCCGTAAAAATTACAATACTAAATTATTGAACATCAATTTCATACTATATTTATTCATATATTATACTTTTACATCGTAAAACTTGTAATCAGAATTAAATAAGGTAATAGGAGATCAAGTTGCTTTTGGAATAATCTACCAATTTTTTAAAATTAGACACCATCATCAGATTTGCATTGAAGCGTTGTTTCTCATGAGTGATTTTAATCAGTGACAGATATCATCTATATTTGTCCAAACTATGCCACTTTCACACTTTTCTGGGTTTTTGAATCCAAAACTGCATTTAAAATAATTTTAGGAATTCAGGTATTATCGTAAAAACTAGTCGATCTAGATTTGAAAAGTTTTTTTATTTTCATTTTGCCTTGTGTATGATAGGTTACCAAGCCATGTTAATAGACCATACATCTTTTCTGTTGTAATTTTCGGGAATTTCAACAAACTGCAATTAAGATAACAGAAAATTGCCGGTGTAGATAAGAAAGAGCTAAATGCCAAGATTGCCATAAACAACGACAAAAACATACCGTAAACAAACTAAGCTGACAACCATGAGCCTGTAATTATCACTCTTAAGATGAATTTTGTAACGAGTCCCAAATGTCAGCTCATTTCTGAAAGCGTGAATACATCTGTAAACATTTTAAGCATTATATATATATATTATATATATATATATATACATATATATATATATATACATATTTTTTATTGAGATTATTGAAAAGTCTTCAAGCCTTCAACAAAATGCATAACTTGAAAAATTTGTCTATGAGTACTATATCATAATATTGAATAATAAATTAATAGAAAGCTTTACGAAATTTCTTTATCACCTAGTCTTCCCAAAAAATTATCTTTAATTATGAGGGCGGAAGCCATCACAGCTCCCATGACAATTACGCTAATGACCTTAAGTCTATAATATAGTCTTTCTTTTAATATTATTTAAAGTTTTACACTTAGCTACTTTTTTTAATCAAATAATTAAATTACCTATTTCTTAAAAATATACTGTACTATTTTATGATTGAAACATTATCATGACTTATAAATAAATAGGATATTAGAAATTGTAATGTTTTTTATTTATTTTGTTTGACAAAAAATTATATTATATCCAATAAAGGGATTTGTATAGATATTTGAGTTATATTTTCTAATTTTTATAATACAAAATGTACATGTAATCTATTATATCTATCTCTATGAAGACAAGTCCAGAGGTAAAATTTTTTTTTTTCCATAATAAAGTAAATTACATTAGCTTTAATTTAATATATATATAAAAGTGTCAGACCTTCCGGAACATTTTCAAAAGTTAATTTTTTGTCAAAAAGTTGTCATTTTAAATCCCCCCCTGTGGGCAGGTTAAGTGTCAGATTTACAAAAAAATACACCAAGTGATAGGTAAAGACATCAATCATCTATAAAAAAAAATGATATTGATATGTTCATTTTAGAAAACGTTACGGCAGTTTTTAGTAAAAAAAATTTCGAAAATTAGCGATTTTTAAATTTGTAATTTTTTTGGAGGTTTCCCCTATTTACGGGGAATGAGGAAAATTTTTTCAATTTTTAAGGGTAATGTCTTCGACTAGATACGATTTGTGATCTTTTGACGTATCGTTGAAAGAAATCCGTTCGGTGAGAGCTGAAAACAAGTGGTAACAGGCACAAAAAAAAAAACACATCATTGTAAAACCAATACCTTCTCAGCTTCGCATCGAAGCTAAACAGTAAAGCAAGTAAATATTATTTACAATTTTAATATAGAGTCAATTCATGCCAAATCATTCAGAAGTGATTGTACGACCAACTCATTTTTTTCTTAAATTTGCGGGGTTTATTATACTATTATTAGATAAAAACAATATTTTTTATGAGCTTTCCACTTTTATAACTATTTTAATGTAAAAAATGTTAAAAATAGCTAAAACTTTAAAAAATACACAGACTATTCAATATTAACGTAATCGAATTAAAATTTTAGAATTAACATTATTATTACTTAGAGGTTACATAAAAAAAAAAATTATGTGAAATTCTAAGTTTTAATGAATTTCTAAAAATGGCTTTCAGAATGTCAAAAAAATTATACAAAATAAAAGCGAAATACCTAAGGTTTCTAATTAAAACAAATTGTTTTGATTTGTTAATTTTTGAAAAAGTTTTGGTAGTTTTAATAAAAAATAAGTGAATAAAAATGTCAAAAATTACTGATTTTTATATTTGTAATTTTTGAGATTTCCCCCATTAAGGGGAACGAGGGAAGTTTTTTCAATTTTTATGGGCAATTCGACTAGATACGATTTGTGATCTTTTGACGTATCGTTGAAAGAAATCGGTCGGTGAGAGCTGAGAAAAGTGGTAACAGACACACGAAAAAAACCCATCATAATAAAATTAATACCTTCTCAGCTTTGCATCGAAGCTAAAATAAATCTATTATTTACTTTTTAAAAATCGACCAATTATCTACAATCGAAGCAATATAAAAATTTATGAAAGTCATTCTTAATACTTTTCATTAAAGTAAGTCGAGATATGAGTTTTTTGTTGGGAAGACCTCGTTCAATTATTTCCTTTAAAACAGGATTTTTCATTATTTGAAATGGTAAATTAACACTTATAATACATTATTGTAGTAGTTGATTTAGAGTATCTAAAATCAAAATTATATAATATTGATAACAAAGAATAATAGTTTTTATAAAAACGTATGATAAATATTTTTTGATTTAAGCTAATAAAATTGAAAAATAACTTATTAATTTTATATATTATTAAGTTTTGGAATTCTTTCAACTAGTGCCCCTAAACATTAAATATAACACATAAACTCATGTATTATGTAAGTTATTTTGTTTAAGCCCCAACTTGATAAATGTGACTAAAATAAAAATACTATACATATTCTTATTTTGATTAGTAAACTTTTTGCCCAAAAATCTTCCAAAACTGGCTAATTCATCTATTTTTCTTCAAATTATTTTAAATCGTTAAGACTACTATTTTTCAGTGATCCATTACATCTCTTTAAAGTTTTTTTTCTCCACTCCAATGAAACTTTAAAAGTTTTAATTAATATTTAAATTCTTAATTTACTTCACTCTAGTGTTATAATCTAGTAGTGTCGCAATAGTGGCCTATAAGATTTTATTTTTTCAAATTTACAAAATCCAATAATAGTTATAATAATAATTTCAATAATAGAAACTGTAAGTTATAAAAGAAAATACTTAATGCAACAAGTTCAAAAATAGAATTAAACTAAACTATCAAACTTCAAAGAAATGTAGTACTATAGAAAATTTTATGCTAGACCTAACATAAACAAAGTAAAAATTCTAATATTAAAACTTTCAAAAATAATAATGAAATTAAATTTTTTTCCAATTTTATTTATACTATAGTATATTATATTATACATAATATAATTAATAATAATTTTGTAATTTGAGGTCAAAAAAGTTTTCTTTTTTTGCAAATGTTTTTTTAATTTTCTACACTATTATAGCTATTACAATAGCGTAGAATGAACTACCATTAGTGAGTATGCTTCTTTGAAAATACGCATTATTGTCATTACATATATTTTTTTGAAAATAATCTTGTTATAGTGAGAAAAATTGAATTCAAACTTTAAATCAGGCACATTCTGTGTTAGTAAGATATATATTTTTTCATAATGAATCATTAGTATTTAGTATGTCTAATTTCATGAAAACTGTTGCATATTATGGACATTAATTGAATAGCTAAAGCTCATAATAATCTTTTTAATAGTAATTACATTACTATATACAAAAATTCATAATATATTATATAACTATGATCAAAAATATTATTATATAAAGGAATTAATTAAAACTTAATTTATCTTTTCACAAATGAGTTATGTCTATCGTGCACATTAACAGCTCTTAATGTAATGAAATACTTGTGTCCTCGTGCAAATCCTGTCAAATTACTCTGAATCGGTGGCGTCGACGCTTCTTCACTTTGGAACACAAAGAAACTGTTAAATTAGAACTACTTGTATCATATGACTCTTTTTGGCTACTAACACTGACATTTTCTACATAGACATACTGCAAGCCAACTAGTTTACGTCTGTGATATTCGTATATACAGTATAATGATATTTATAGCCATAATCATTTATATGTATACAACTATCCATTGGCAAAGTTAAAATGTCAAAAGTACCAAGTTTTTGCCACATAGAAACATATGGAACCTGGTCGATTTCTTTGCAAACGTAAATTTCAAAAGCCTTTATTTTTGCAAAAGACAGTTCAACATTAAATCCCAATTTAGAGTAATAACTAATCCATCACTTTTGGCTGTGACTTTAGGTGGCGGTGGAACTATCTTCCAAATAGGTTTATTAAAAAATGGAGGAACGGCAGGTAGCGATAATGGATAAAAGAACTTATTTCTTCCAAAGCCAAGTTCATTGTCCTCATTATTATAAATATTAGACTCTCCATTTGAAATATAGCCGTTTAATTTTTTAGTCGATTCAATTGTCGACGTAAAATACGTTTGGTTTTAAAATTTTGGACTTCCACAATCCATTTTTAACAAAAAAAACTTGTCGAATATTTAAAACAAGACCAATGTTGTAATATAACTTGAGAAAAACACTTTATTAAACACGTTAAGAGATCAAAAACTTCACAAAAGATGCTCTGCATTAAATCGTGGTAAAATTTTTTTTTTAGCTTCGATGCGAAGCGGAGAAGATATTAATTTTACTATGATGTGTTTTTTTTTTTTTTTTTTTTTTTTTTTTCTCTGTTGCCACTTTTTCTCAGCTCTCACTGGACCGATTTCTTTCAAAAATACGTCAAAAGATCACAAATCGTATCTAGTTGAAGACATTACCCTTAAAAATTGAAAAAAATTCCCTCGTTCCCCGCAAATGGGGGAAATATCCAAAAAAATTACAAATTTA